CGCCTATATTAACCTATGGATCAAACGCCTCGGAGCACCATAAATTTTTTTCTGAAAAAACATTATTATAACCTCTGTAATGAGTTGGGGAACCACCAGATATACTAATATCATTTTAATGACTATTTCTGCATTTACAAATATTTTTTTGAAATTACCCAAATTCTTCGATTTTTTGTGTGTATTTATCCATGGATTTGGCGCGCCTTAGGGCATCCAAAAAAAAATTCTGAAAAAACTTCATGAGGACCTTTGTAATGAGTTGGGGAACCACCACGTATACATATCATTTTTTAATGCTTATTTTAGAATTTACAGGCCCTTATTTAGAAATTACCCAAATTCCTCAATTTTTCGTGTGTATTAGCCCACAGATCTGGCGCCTCGGAGCACCCAAAAAAAAATTCAGAAAAAACTTTATAAGGACCTCTCTTATGATTTGGGGAACCACCACGTGCACTCACACCTTTTTTTAACGTTTATTTCCGCATTTACATGCTTTCTTTTAGGAATTACCCAAATTCCTCAATTTTTTGTGTGTATTAATCCATGGATCAGGCTCCTCGGAGTACTCAAAACTTTTTTTTCTGAAAAACTTTATGAGGACCTCTGTAATGAGTTGGGGAACTAGCACCTATTTCAGCATTTACAGGCCCTTTTTTAGGAATAACCAAAATTCCTCAATTTTTCGTGTGTATTAGCCTATGGATCTGGCACCTCGGAGCACCTAAATTTGTTTACGGAAAAAATATTATGAGGACCTCTGTAATGAATTGGGGAACCACCATGTATACTCACACCATATTTTTAACGCATCTTTTCGAATTTACAGACCCTTTTTTAATAATTACCCAAATTCCTCTATTTTTCGTGTGTATTAGCCCATGAATCAAGAACCTCGAAGCACCCAAAAAAATTTTGAAAATACTTTATAAGGACCTCTGTAATGAGTTAGGGAACCACCACGTATACTCACACATTTTTAACGCATATTTCTGCATTTAGATGCCCCTTTTAAGCAATTACCAAAATTTCTCGATCTTTCGTGTGTAATAGCCCATTGATCCATGCTTGAGATATGTGTATTTATGTGACAATAATTAAATTAATAAAGTGGAGTTCTTGTGTAATGATAGAAAATGATTGTTACTTACTAGTTTAGTTAATGCTACTAAGTGAGAAAACAAAGAGTTGCATTGAATACCACTAATATACAATGAATAAAGCGCAATCCTCGAATGCGATTTATGAACAATTTGAATTTTTTTCTCAAAAAACTATATGAGAACCTCCATAAAGAGTTGGGGAAACTTGATATATAGTCTAGCCATTTTTTCGCACATATTTTCTCATTTACGAGCAAAATTTTAGAAATTACCCGACTTTCGCCGATTTCGTGTATATTAGCCCATGGATCCAGCGCCTTGGGGGCACCCAATTTTTTTCTAAAAGGACGTTGGTAATGAGTTGGGAAAACATTACGTATATTCCCACCATTTTTTCACGAATATTATCGCATTCACGAGCCAGCTTTTAGGAATTACCCGACTTTCACCATTTTTCGTGTGTATTATCTCATGCTTGATATATGTGTATTTATGTGAGAATAATTAAATTCATTAAGTGGTGAAAATATATGCAATAAAGTGGAGTTCTAGAATAATGATAGAAAATGTTTATTACTTACTTGTTTAGTTAATGATATTAAGTGAGAAAACAAAGAGTTGCACTGAATATCACTAATGTACAATGAATAAAAACGCAATCCTCGAATGCGATTTATGAATAATTTGAATTTTTTTTCTCAAAAAACTATATGAGAACCTCTATAAAGAGTTGGGAAAGCTTTACGTATAGTCCAACCATTTTCTCACGCATATTTTCTCATTTACGAGCAAAATTTTAGGAATTACTCGTTTTTTGTCGATTTCGTGTGTATTAGCCCATGGATCTGATGGTTTGGGGGCACCCATAATTTTTTTCTGAATGAACCTTTGTAATGAGTTGGGAAAGCATTACGTATAGTCCCACCATTTTTTCATGAATATTATCACATTTACGAGCCAACTTTTAAGAATTATCCGACTTTTGTTATTTTTGTGTGTATTAGTTTATACTTGAGATATTGTATTTATGTAAGGATAATTAAATCCATAAAGTGGTGAAAATATATGCAATAAAGTGGAGTTCTTGTATAATGATAGAAAACGCTTATTACTTACTATTTTAGATAATGCTATTAAGGAAGAAAACAAAGAGCTGCATTGAAGATCACCAATAATGATTAAAACGCATTCCATGAATGCGAGTTATGAACAATTTGAATTTTTATCTGAAAAAACTATATGAGGACCTCTGTTATGAGTTGGGGTAGCATGACGTATTGTCCTGTCATTTCTTTCACGCATATTTTCTCATTTACAGGCAAAAAATTAAGAATTACCCAACTTTCACCGATTTCGTGTGTATTACTCCATGGATCTAGCACCTTTGGGGAACCATAAAAAAAAAATTGAAAAAACTATTTGAGGACTTCAGTAATGAGTTGGGGAAGCTAAACGTAAAGTTTTGCCGTTCTTTTCACGCATATTTTAGGAATTACCCGACCTTCACCAATTTCGTGTGTATTTGTCCATGGATTTGGCACCTTGGGGAACCCATAAATTTTTATTGAAAAAAGTATATGAGGACCTCCGTAATGAGTTGGGAAAACATTATGTATAGTCCTGTCGTTTTTTTCGCAAAAAAAAATGATTTACGAGCCAACTTTTAGAAATTACCGGACTTTTAGAATTTTTCGTGTGTATTAGTCTATGCTTGAGATATGTGTATTTATGTGAGAATAACTAAATTAATAAAGTAGTGGAAATATATGCAATAAAGTGGAGTTCTTGTGTAATGCTAGACAATGTATGTTACTTACTAGTTTAGTTAATGGTATTAAGGAGAATACAAAGAGCTACATTAAAGATCACTAACAATGAATAAAACGCAATTCTCGAATGCGATTTATGAACAATTTTTTAAAAAAAAACTGAAAAATATTTATGAGAACCTCCCTAATTGCAAGTATAGTGCAATTTAATTTTGATTTTTCGGTTTAACCGCATTAAAATAATTAAAAATCGAAAGCCAAACCAAATAACCGAAATTCTAGAATTAATAATTGAAACCGAATTTTTAAAAAAATAGTTCGATCAATTTTTTTCGGTTTGAACCATAATATGCCTAGCTCTAGTCAAATGGTATCTGACTAAAAACACCTTTAACATATGTTACTTAGACTCTTCAACAATAATGTGACATCCGTGTTGAATCCTCCAAAGCATCCATTAATTTCTTTTAAGAATCAAAGCAACATCGCGTTTTTTACTCTTTTTCTACTAATATCTTGTGACACAATATCGGAATATGACAACAATCAATTATTTTGAAGTGCTTTAATGGATTTGTCAAATATAACTACCTAAAATAAATGTATCCTCAAATGATTTTATGCGACACGAAATAAAGAGCGGTGAAATTTAAGGTCCATTTCACACACAGCTCATTTACTTTAGTTTTAATAATAAAAAAAAGTGAAATTTACTACTCCATTATATTATGTAATTATGTTACTGTAGCTTGATACAACAGCCAGTGTAAGCACGAGTCCAATACATGTTAATATTTTTTTATTTTAATTTATGAAATTTGGAAAGTCAATCAATTTTTTTATATGTTTTAAAAATCTTATAAATTGTTAATTATTGTGATTTATAGTACTTTAAATTTTGTGTCATTTTTAAATAATATATGTTACTCCCTTTGTCCCAATTTATGTGGCACAAATGAAATTTGAAGAGTCGACTAAATTTTTTATATGTTCTTTTAAAATATTTTAAGTTGTTAATTATTGTAATTTATAATATTTTATACGTAATTTTCAAATAATATATGTTACTCCCTCTATCTCAATTTATGTGCACCGATAGAATTATGAGAGATCTACTAGCTATTATATTAAAAGATATTCAAGCGAAGTGAGAGAAGAAAAGGGTGATTATTAATGGAACTTATTTCGCACTCAACACCTGTAGTAGTAGGACAATCATGATTAGAGGAGAATTAATGGTATGAGTTGAAGTGATTTATTTTTTTAGATTTGTTCTATCCTTGGTCTAGGGCGGAGTCAACTTATGGTCAGGAAGTTCACTCAAACCTCCTTCGATGGAAAATTATAGTATTTATATATAGTTAAGATTATTTTTAATGTATCTATAATATATGTCGAACCCTTTTAATTTATTCGTGTGTTTGCTTCTTTAGATATTGTACTTCTTAATTTAAATGCTGACTTCGCCGATGACTTTAGTGTGACACATATTTTGTGAAATTAGTTGCATGTTTAGTTACCTTATATTTGTTTTTGATGAAATGTGACATATATTTCTTAAAATTAGTCGAGGTGCATGCAAATTAGTTGAAACACCACAATTCTATATATATGGCTACTACTCTACCCTATAGAATAGAAGCTCTCAAAACCTTTTAAGTTTCCTATCAAATTTCCATGTTTTGAGGTGTAGGACACTAGAAGATCACTTAAAGCAAAATAACAAGTTTATAAAAGAGTACAACAAAGGGAAAAGTGTTTTTCACTACAATCAACACATCAAGATTAAGTCTTCCTATATCTTCACATGAGAGCCAAGTCTTTGCTTACTTCAAAGCATACCCTAAAAACAAGGGGAGAAAAACACTCCTCTATTTCAATTTGTTTGTCTGGTTTTGACTTAACACGAAATTTAAGAAAGTAAAGAATATTTTTTAATAGGTAGTTTGAAAATAAAAATATGTAGAATGTACCAAAATACCAGGTAGAAAATTAAAATTAAAGAGTTATCACAAAAGGAAAGAAACATTTTTTTCAACGGACAAAAAAGGAAAGTAACAGTAAACCTTAGGAAACCACACATATAAATAAGAAGCCAAGAACTCATATTCTCTTCATCACAACTTCAAAAGTCATCAAGAACTTTCAACAAAACTCATAACAATTTCCCAACACATCAAAACTATGGATAACAACTTCCCATTTCCACCACCACCACCATCTTCCTCTGATCAAAGCTACACCATAGTAATATTCGTTTTCTCGACGTTCGGTTGCATCTTACTTGGCCTAACTATTCTGGCTTTTTGCACATACTTCTTGAAGAAAAAGAAGAAGAACACAATACTAGTTGAAGAAAAAGAAGTGAAACACATTGATGATCATGTTAAAATAAAGGAAGCAATTGTTGAAGGACCTCATGGGAAACTTGAGACAATAGTACTCTCAGTGGAAGAAGATTTGCATGAAAAGGATGATATTATAAGGACAAAGAAAGAGTTAGAAGAAGTTCATCATCATAACTTCTTACATGCTAATAATAAATCTTCAGAAATTACACCTTCTGCTCTTGAAGCTGCCCATAGACAAACTTAATTAAGCATCAATTCATGATTTTTATTTTTTTTAAAAAATAAATGACAAGAATGGGAGTTACTATTGTATAAAGTTAATTATAATGACTATTCTTTCTTTTGATGTTTTAATTTCTTTAAGCCACAACTTCTCACATGCCATTCAATTCTTCTATATGACTTGGACAATCCTCGCTTCTTGAGCTAACTTTTTTGGTTGAGTTAGACTCAAGATCTGTTTTACATGGTATCGATCATCCTATTCATGACTTTGGACCTAAAGGCCGGCCTAGTAACCTTTCGGAATAAAGAATCCTTGTTGACTAATATACTCCTCGCGATTCATATTAGTTACTTATTTCATATTTTTGGTTTCTTTTAGGAAAAAATAATAATAATATATAGCCTTAATCATAACAGTATGTCTAAAATGTTTACCTCTTCTTAAACGTCTCACTTAATAATGCTCTGTCCATTAAAATAGTATTGGTAGATTTTATTTTTTAGCGTGAAGTTCAAACTATAAATTTAGCGCATATAACTGTATCATTAATGAAAGGTTTACTCAATTGTAGAAAAAAAAAAACAAGGGTACACTTCATATTCATTCAACATTCTCTTGAGAGAAAGACAACTATCCAAATAGTGTTTGTCGATGATATCATACTTACAGGAGATGACTAGTCAAAAATTAAGAATATTTAAAAATAGTTGACCTCGGAATTCAAGATTAAGGATTTGGGCAATTTGAACTATTTCCTTGGCATGGAAATATATAACGAGATAAAAAGAATTTATTATGTTGTCATAAAGAAAGTATGTGCTAGATCTTCTAAAAGAAACAAGAATGAGTGGTTGTCGTCCATCTAAAACACATATTGATCTGAATATAAAATTCAAAAATAAAAAAGGAAATTCAGTTGATTAAAGTCAATATAGTAAGAAAGAAAGTTGATCTACTTGTCGCACACTCGGGCCGAAACATTCTCAAATCTATTCTATCCATTTGAGAAATGCTCATCTACCACCCCTACAACATATTTAATGAAGTAAAAAAGAGAGATTCTTATTGATTTTCTTAGCTCAAATGATGAAAATTCTTGAAGATCAGTGATTGAACAATCATGTTTACAGACAGAGGCGGAGCTAGGGGTTTCATGGGTTCGGACAAACCCACTAGCTTTTTCGTAGATCCTTTATATGTATTAGAAAGTTAAATAGATATATATTTATATTAACTCGTGAATCCCTAACAAAATTGATTGATAATTACTTACTGATAAGGAAGGGATTGTGGAAATGTTTTGCACTAGTGGGTTCGAGTCCCACTATCAACACCTTTAAAAGGAAATTTAGAACTCCGAACTCTTAATCTTGGCTAGGTACTTCAAATCTTGTTCGTAGTCTTTTCGTTATATAGACACTGTTAAAGTCCTAATTGCCTATCAATCTCCATGTCTTGTACTGTGGAACACTAATCATGAGTTAAGCAAAATAATAAAGGGAAATTAAAGAGAAATAGAGCAAACAAAAAGTGTTTTATACTGCAATCATCAGAATATTAAAGCTAAGATAAAGTCTTCCTAGTCTTTACATGAGAGCCAAGTCTCTGCTTACTTGAAAGCATACCCCAAAAGAGAGAATTTTAATTAATTAAAGGGAAATTATTCAAATATATCATCGACTTTTGAAAAAAAATCTCATTTATGTCATCCGTTAATTTGCTAGTTTATTTATGTCATTTTCATTTTAGAAAAGGCTTATCCATGTCATTATTTGTTAACCATTTTTTATTCGTGGTCAATTATGATTCGGTCATGTCATTTATTTTTTAAGGAAAAAGGCTCAAATATGTCATCGAACTTTGAGAAAAGGGCGTTTACCTGTGCCATTTCAGTTAATAAATAATGGCATGTATAAGCCTTTTTTCAAACAGAAATAACATAGATGAACCAAATTTTTAGCGGATAACATAAATAAGTCTTTTCTCAAAATTCGATGACGTATCTAACCTTTTTCCCTAAATTAAAATAACAATAAACACATGAGAGAGCTAAATGAAAAGAACCTTGGGAATATTCAGCACTTATAAATAAGCAGCCAAGAACTCTTTTTCTCTACATCACAACATCAAGATTCATCAAGAACTTGCACAAAAAAAAATTATAATAATTTCCCAAGATTTTAATTCCTATGGCAAACAATTTGAATAACTTCCAATTCCCATATTTCCCTACCCATCCACCACCCCCTCCTCTTCATCCCATCTCTCCACCACCCCCTCCTCATCATCCCACCTCCCCACCACCTCACCCCCACCCTCCTCCTCCACCACCTCATCCTCATAATCATCCACCAATAATGGCATGTATAAGCCTTTTTTCAAACAGAAATAACATAGATGAACCAAATTTTTAGCGGATAACATAAATAAGTCTTTTCTCAAAATTCGATGACGTATCTAACCTTTTTCCCTAAATTAAAATAACAATAAACACATGAGAGAGCTAAATGAAAAGAACCTTGGGAATATTCAGCACTTATAAATAAGCAGCCAAGAACTCTTTTTCTCTACATCACAACATCAAGATTCATCAAGAACTTGCACAAAAAAAAATTATAATAATTTCCCAAGATTTTAATTCCTATGGCAAACAATTTGAATAACTTCCAATTCCCATATTTCCCTACCCATCCACCACCCCCTCCTCTTCATCCCATCTCTCCACCACCCCCTCCTCATCATCCCACCTCCCCACCACCTCACCCCCACCCTCCTCCTCCACCACCTCATCCTCATCCTCATCCTCCACCATATGTTCCACCACCACCACCACCATCACCACCTCACAATTACATCATAATAATATTTGTTTTCTCTATGTTCGGTTGCATTTTACTTGGCCTAGCTATTCTAGCTTTCTGCTCATGCTTCTTGAAGAAAAAGAAGAAGAGTACAATGATAGTTGAAGAGAAAGAAGTGAAACACATTGATGATCATGTTAAAATGAAGGAAGCAATTGTTGAAGGACCTCATGGGAAACTTGAGACAATAGTACTCTCAATTGAAGAAGATTTGCATGAAAAGGATGATACTATAAGGACACAGAAAGACTTAGAAGAAGTTCATCATCATAACTTATTGCATGCTAATAACAAATCATCAGAAATTACACCTTCTGCTCTTGGAAATAGCCATGTATAGTCCTCAGCAACATCTTAATGAATATATTAACAATTGCCTTATCAAAGGCTAATGGTTGATCATTAATTTTCTATCACAATTATTGTGTACATGCAACATACTTTAATTTCTTAACATTATTTGCCCACGTATTTCCTCTATCTCATATTAGTTATGACATTTACTTTTTACATGTTCCTTAAGAAATCATACATAAAACTATCTTTGACTATTTTACCCTTATCTCTCTCCAACAAATTGCACTGTATTTGAGAACAAGATTAAACTAGTCTCTACTAGACTAATTAGGCCATCTATGTGTAACAAGTTAGCCCAGTTTGATAAATTCGTTGTAACTACTAGCCCGTCAAGGGAGTACGTTCTAGCTAATTCTTCTGTAATTCCGTAGCATACATATATAATATTATCCTTTCAACCAAAAAAGAAGAAGATTAAACTAGTCTTTATTTCAAGAACATGAAATAAAAATAATTAAATTTTATTTTGATTTTGTAAAATGACAAGTAAATTGGGACAAATATTTTTAGTAACCTTGACAACTGATATTTACGATGTTAGATGTATGTAGTCTCCAAAACTAGATTATAGAGATTTCAAATTAAACTACATGCAAATATTATTACTCTACTAAGTTAAGAATTATTATGAGATCGACTTATTGATAATATATGTTCCCTCTACATAATTTAAATTTTACATGATAGACATTTTCAATAGTGAGGTAATTACCTTTCATTTATGATAGACATTCTCAATACGAGTGGAAATTATCTTTCATTCTAGTTTCTAGCTCGGGAAAATAATATTTTGACTCGAACATTTTCCTAACAAGAGAAGCCATCTCTTATTTTTTAAACTTGAACTCATGATTTCTTAGTTAAAAAAACTAGGTACGCATTTTTTTTTGGGGGAATAGGCATAAATTTACTTGTGAATTTGTTTCGAAAAGTAACTATTATGACGATCTAAATTTAAAACTGGATTTTTTTACCCACTAAAATTGGCATGGCAAGAAAATAAAAAATAAAAGCATGTTTGGTAATAAATAAAGTTTTAAAAAAATCAAAATCCTCTTTCTACCATCACCCTATCCCCACCAGGGGCGGACCTACGTGGACCCGAGGGGGACCCGAACCCCCTCGTCAAAAAATTACACTGTATATATAACGTCAAATTCTGATTTTATGCATATATATATATATTAAAATGAACCCCCTAAAAATAAAGTAGTGCCTTGGCTCAGCGGATAAGAGGTTCAACAAATGCTCCTAGATCACGAGTTCAATTCCCATTGACAACATTTTTTCCCTCCTTTGGAACTTTTTGGGCTTAGACTTTCTTCTTCTTTTTCATTATTTTTCCTTTGTTCCATTTCTTCTTTTTAATTTGTTTTTCTTTAAATTTATTAGACACATTCTTTTTATTTTTATTTTTTATTCTTTTATATCTATTATTTATTTTGTTTCAACGTAACTCTTTTTTCATATACTAACTTAAATAACTCTTTTAAAAAATGATAAATTATATTTAACTAGAAATTGATGAGATAGAAATATAATTTATTTTTAAAAAAGGTAAATTAGATGTAATTGAATGAAGAAACTTAAATATCGTCAACATCCTTTCAAAAATATTAATTTATAGAATTCATGAAATTTCTTTTATATTTTTAATTTTATTTTTGAGAGATCGAAACTAAACGTATTTGATTTATTTGTTACTAGGTAACTCAACCGCGCTACGCGCGGTCGTAAAATATTATATCAAAAATATAAACTAACCATATTATTTGAATATAAAAGAGTTTTTAGTTCTAATTCAATTAAATAGATAAAAATTTAAATTT